ATTTGCTTTTTAACACTTTCACAGCAGATTTGCCCAGTGCAATAATCATACCTATGATTATTTTTGCTTTAAACCATCTTTTTTTCCCACATATTTCCCACTGATTCCCTCACCTGGAAGGGCAGGTGTGGAAATGGAATGCAATGTTTAATGAAGTGTTAGTGGGCTAACCTGGGAACCTAACCCACACACATCCTGAGTCACCAAAAACCAAATACTAGGGACACACCTGTCAAAAGTGAGAGCTGCTAGAATAGCTTTTCTCAAAGTAGGAGAGATAATGTAACAGGTCAAGTTGTACTGGGCAGGAGATGAGGAATAACTGACAGCCTTTGGAGTGAGAACCTACATTCATCAGGCAGACCCAAAGTCAAATCAGTAAATCTATGGAACTTGGTGATTACAGTAAACACTAATTTTGCTAGTGTTCACTATATGCCAGGAATTGGGCTAAAAGCTTTATTTATATTATATCCCTCCCAAATAATATCTTGCTAGAGTGTAAACATAGTGAGAGGCTAGAAGGGGAAACAGAGAAGTAAGCTTCTTCCAGTCCTAGTCCTTCCCCAGATTCCCAACTCATCATGAGAAGGTCCATGTAGCCGCCCGCACTCTATACATTGGGATGGGAGGACATGAAGAAGTACAATGCTTATTTGTTCTCTCCTTGTTTTTTTTTTTTTTTTCTTTTTTCTCTGTCCCTGGTTTATTAGTTTCCTGTTGCTGCTATAACAAATTACCACAACTTAGTGGCTTAAAACAACATAAGTTTATTATCTTATAGTTCTCTAGGCCAGAAGTCTGAATGGGCTTCACTGGCCTAAAGTGAAGGAGGCTTTCTGGAGAGTGTAGAGAAGAATCTGTTTTCTTGCCTTCTTCAGCTTCTATGGGCTGCCCACATTCCTTGATTCATGGTCCCCTTTCTCCATCTTCAAAGCCAGCAATTGCAGGTACAGTGTTTCTCATATCACATCACCCTGACCTTCTCTTTTGCCTCTCTCTTCCTCTTTTATGGAGGCCTGTAATTACATTGCCTGTGCAAATGGTTAGTGTTCTTGGCTGTTAACCAAAAGGTTGAAGGTTTGAGTCCACTCAGAGATTTCTTGGAAGAAAGGCCTGGTAATCTGCTTATAAAATATCAGCCTTGGAAAACCCTTTGGAGTTCTACTCTGACACACATGGGGTCACCATGAGTTGGCATTAACCAGACAACTGGTCAGTGACTCCCTTGTTAATCCACAGTAATGTTCTTATTTTAAGGGCAATTTATTAGCAACCTTAATTCCATCTGCAATTTTAATTCACCTTTACCATGTAAGATAATATAATTACAGGTGCCAGGAATTAGGATGGGCATCTTTGGGTGTCCATTATATAGCCTACCACACCTGGTATTCAGAACCACTATAATGGACAGACACATAGGTAGCATTGGGACACTCTTTGGAAGGATGCCTGAGGAGAGTTCCAAGCACCAAAGGCTGCTCCTTTTCAGTGACTGAACATCTGTGTGTGTGTGTGTGTGTGTGTGTGTGTGTGTCTGTGAAAGTGTACACGTGTACTTGCACAGTTCCACGTATCCATATGGGCAGACCTCTCAGCATGGCTGGGAAAGCACATGTCCCAACACTATGACATTTCTAAGTGAGCTAGCTGGAGGATTGCAAAAATAACGTTGACTTGACTTTCAGCCAATTCCCACACTCAGCTCTTTGGAGAAATGCTCTAGGATGGAGTGTGGGAGGCGATAAAGTTTCTTACTGATGCGCGTGTGGGATGACCACATCATCCCATGTGCAGAAAGAAGTGGGGCAGGTGTGTGTGTGTGTGTGTGTGTTGGGGGGGGGGACTTTCCATTCCAGCATTAATGAAAATAAAAGTCTTTGCAACATCTTTTCTCAGTTGCCATCCAAAATGAAGATACTACACCTTAGTTCTGGTGTAGGATTTGGGTTCTTATTTTTAGTTTCCTTCCATAGCTTACTGGTTGGAATTTCATTAGTTGTCATGGATACAGGGAAGCCACTAGCAGGGGATGGACTTCCCAAAGTTATTTTTAAGTTCATATTAGAAATCAGACATCTGGAAGGCACTAAAGGGTTAATGGGAGAGCTTCGCTATGGACAAGCTGCTTCCTCAGTTTCTGGCACATGGAGCAGAGATGCTCAGTAATGGTTCTTTCTTACACAGTTTTTGAATGACAAATATGTTGAATCTGACATGTCTGGGGATATTAAGCAATCCTTTATAATCCCACCTCTGCTCTGATTTCATGACGGATAAAACACAGACTCTGTCTTCTATAGCTGCGGGACTCTGGGCAAGTCTTTGGGTGTTCAAGCATTGATCTAAAATAAGGAGGCTCTGGTAGCATAGTGCCTAAGGCACTTGACTGTTAACCAGAAGGCTGGCGGTTCAAACCCACCAGCCACTCCCCAGAAGGAAGACTGGGCAATCTACATCTGTAGTGATACTCCCTCGGAAACCCAAGAAGGGGTCACAGGAGTAGGGTCCGATTCAATGGTACATAACAACAACAACAAGTCCAGCTGGATAAACAGTTTACATTCAACTAGTAATCTGAAGTTTGGTGGTTTGAACCCACTCAGTGGTACCATGGATAAAAGACCTGGTGATCTGCTTTTGTTAAGATTACAATAATAATTAATAAAAAAATAATAAACCCCATGAAGAAGTTCTACTCTGTAGAACATGCACTTGCCATGAGTTGAAATTGACTCCCTGGTAATGGATTTAGTTTTTTGTTTTGGTCCAGCTTATCTCTAAGACCCTCTCACAGCTTAAAAAATCAATTCTATCTGTCCACATGCAACTAAAGGTGCATTCTGTTCTTTGAACCCAGTAGAAGCACACAAGTCCCTCCGGAGATCATTCTTCTCTCAGGAGTGAGTCTAACAACTGAGATTGTCCACGTCCTCCTAATCCAAACCAGCTGGAGAACTAGGAGACCAGAGACCAGCTCAGTAACATGGAGAGGCCCCACCTCTGAAACTAGCTCTTTTTTCTTTTTCCCGAGAACACTGGCTTTTGGGCATGGTGTACAGCCCATCTGTTTGGTTTGGTGTTTGCCTGACAGCGTGGGAGGAGCAGCAAGCAAGCACAGTCTTAGACATCAGATGTTTAAAATGCTGTACTTCTCCTCCATATGGGGGCCTAGAATCTCTGTGATGGGCCCACGTAAAACAACTTTTAGATATAAGAAGGTGAACTGTAGACACTGCTGTTACCATTTTCTCCCTAAAATAAATATAATAATGGATTATGCAGACAGGGGTTGGATCTCTTAGATTCAGTCTCTCTAGCAAGATCTTTCAATCGCAGTACCTGAAGAAGAACAAGAAGATTATCTGGATATGTGTGTGTGGTAGGTGGTGGAAAATGTAGATGGTACACATTGAGTTAGGAAAGTTGGGTCCTGTTACAAAGTAGATTGTGCCCCCCCCAAAAAAACAATGTATGTTGAAACCCTAAATCCTAAACCCTGATATCTGTGAACATGAGCTCATTGGGAAATGGGATCTTTCAAGATATTATCAGTTAATATGAGGCCATACTAGAGTGGGATGAATCCTAACTCAATCTGAGTTGTGTCCTTCTAAAAGGGGAGAAGAGACAAAGACACATACGGAGGACGGATAGCATGTGAAGATGTGTATGCATGACAAGGAAAGTCTAGGGCCTCACAAGCTGGTAGAGATAAGAAAGGATCTTCCCCTAAAGACTTCAGAGGGAGCAGGGTCTACCTAGCACGTTGATCTGGATTTCTAGTCTCCAGAGCTGTGAAAGTTAAGTTTTTGTTCATGTAAGCTATCCAGCTTGTGATATATTAATACAGAAGCCCCAGGAAAATAATATAGCTCTCACATACAGCAACATTTTGCTTGGGGATCTTAGATATCACTTAATCCTCTTCCTCTGCTCTAGGACATCATACTTTTTCCATGAAGGCTCTATCTGTGGTAATCAGTCTACTGGAGACAGTTCTTTATAAAGACTACTCTAGCTGAACACTTTCAACAATGAATGTGCAAGGCAACTTGGAATGAAGGATCCACACTCCTAGGAAAGTTGTTCCTTAAAGGGGCATGGGAGTGCTCCAATGAATGTCGGGCCTGCATTTGGATACTTACTTATACAACTCCAGTCCCATTTGAAAGGCTTAAAGATGTAGTACATATTCTTTGACCAGTAATCTCACTTTTAAGAATGTTTCCAAAGAAAATAACTTCAAATGTGCCTTGCATTTCTATGTAAGGATGTTCATTTTAATAGTATTTATAAAAATTAAAAGTTAAAGCAAATCTATAGCAACTAGTTTTATTTATTTTTTTTATAAAGATCAAATAACAGGGGAGCACTTAAACAAGCTATGATAGAGATATATAGGGAATACTAACAGGCCATTAACGTTATGTTATTGAAGACTATTTAATGGTTCTGGAAAACTCTCACGATAGAATGTTAAGTGAATGAAAGCAGGAAAATTCTACTTAGATCTAGTATGCTCCGAAGCCTCTAAAAAAATCATGTGCTGAAAAAGATTAGAAGGGAAGATATTAAAATTTTAAAAGACATTATCTTCAAGAGATAGAATTATTGATGATTATCGTTTTATTCTTTAAGCTTTTCAGAATTTTCCAGATTTTCTGCAATAAACATGCATTAATTTTAAAATCATAAAAAGTCTAGCCTCAGTAGCTAAATATCCCTAACTGATGACCAAAAACTATGGAGACTATCCTGAACTCATCTTTCTGGCTTAAGGTTAGCTACAGATAGGATCTTTCCAAGGCTTCTACCAGATGACCCCATACTTTAAGCCAACATGTTCAGTGGCCAAACCATATGCTGGTAGCTTGCATAGTCTAGGCTCCCCATGGCAGTGGGACAATTGGGTAGGATGGCCTAAGTTTCAAGGGAGTGACTGCAATAGGCATGATCTCTCTGATAGTTACCCACTGCCCAGTGCTCCTGCCTACCAGTTTCAGGGTCACATTGGTGTTCACAGGGGTCCAGGAGCCGCCGAGCACAGAGATCCATGGCCCAGGGCCCACTAGAGTTCTGCTGAGAGAACAGTACTACTTGGGCAGGGTTCAGCCAGTCACTGGCATCCAGCTGGCTCCCCTCCAGCAAGATGAAGCGGCTCCCTGCAGGGGAGAGAGAAAGCATGCTCATGTGTATACACACAAATGTACATAAGTCACCAGAGACAGAGAAAAGGCCACTCTGCACATTAGCCCCAATCCAAGACCACTATTTCCACCAGCCCTGGCCCTTGATTAGCTCCAGAGCAAGGGATCAGCCAACGGAGGCTCAGCCATCACCTGGACTGCTGTGAGGCCAGAAGGTTTAGGCCCTCCCATCCTATCATTCCTGCTGTCTTGCTCCCTCCTATCTTATCCAGGAGTTCCTAAGGGACAAACGGACAGAGCAGCTCTGTGATGGCCATAGCACAGCTCCATCAGATGCAGCCACAGGCACTTGGCTCTAGTCCAGGAACAGGGACGTGCTGCCTGTCTTTGCTTGCCATGAAATAGCAGGCCCCTAACACCACAAACAGTCCCCACCTGTTTTCAGCCTTACAGCAACCAAGAGAATAGACATTAACAAGACAATTAGGTACTCTGGACTTCAATAATTCAGGGACCTCAGAATCTATATCACTCCCTCATTATACTGGGGTCTCCCTGGATGAAAATAAATGATCACTTCAGAGTTCTAGGCTTAGAGTGAGTGACTGCAATTAGAAATTTTCTACCTGAGCATACCAAACTGAAGCACGGCTAATCTTTAAACACCTTTGCTACTCTGTTTAAGGAGCTCTGGTGGCATCATGGTTAAAGCATTTGTCAGCTAACCAAAAGATCAGTGGTTCAAACCCACCAGCTGCTCCGAGGGAGAAAGATGGGGCAGTCTTCTACTTCCACAAAGATTTATAGCCACCTTAGAAAGCCAATGGGGGTCACCGTGAGTCAAACTGACTTGATGGCAGTGAGCTTGAGGGTTTTTTGGTTTGGTGCTGTAGTAAAAGGAGCTCTGGTGACATAGTGGGTAAGACATTTGTCTGCTAACCCGAAGGTCAGTGCTTCAAACCTGCCAGTTGCTCCACAGGAGGAAGATGAGGCAATCTACTTCTGTAAAGATTTATAGTCTTGAAAACCCAGTAAGTTGCCATGAGTCAGAATCTACTAGATGGCAGTGGGTTTGTGTGTTTGTGTGTGTGTGTGTGTGGTGGAGTGGTTAAGGCATGTGGCTGCTAACAAAAAGGTTGGTGGCTCAAACCCACCAGTTGCTCTGTGAAAGAAAGACAGAGTAATCTGCTTCTGTAAGGATTTACAACTTTGGAAAGCCAATGGGGGTCACTATGAGCAGAATTGACTCGATGGCAGTGAGTTTAGCTTTGATTTACTGCTCTATTTAGCTCTTCCCCTCTCAAATACTAAATGAACCTTGGCACCTACCTACATGTAGCCGCTACGCTCTGCATTTCTCCACAAAGACAGAGGCTTATTTCAAAACAAGCAAAAATGGGGTTAGGTACAGAAAAAGAGGAGGTCATCTGTTTAGTTGTGGGTCTTTTTTTTTTAAACCCACTTACTTATTTCATGTTGTTATGTGCCATCGAGTCAAACCTGCAGTATCACTATGGAAGTAGATTGCCCAACCTTCCTTCCAAGGAGTGGCTGGTGGGTTTGAACCACCAGCCTTCTGGTTAGCAATCAAGTGCCTTAGGCACTAGGCTACCAGAGCCACTCCTCAGAAGGAAAGTTGGGCAATCTACTTCCATAGTGATACTGCCTCAGAAACCCAAGGAGGGGTCACTATGAGTCCGGTTTGACTCGACGGCACATAATAACAATAATATAACTTATTTCACGTGTCAAGACTCTTTTTTGGTCCTAATCCTTATTCATTTGGGTTTTATGTTCTATTCGTGTGTGCATTTCTTGTTCTAGTAATAACTAACAGTATTCCTCACTTCTCTATCTCTTGCCCAACCTGGAAACTTTCCTTTTTGGGAGAGGAGGTCTCAAGTCAGAAGAAGTGGGCTTACCATCGGCAATCAGGTGCTCTGGGACGTGCAAGGTGATTTTGACAACGAGAGGGCAGCTGACATGAGAGGCGCACACAAGGCCGATCACACAGCTGGTGATGCTGATCAGTGTCAAAGTGGTCTTATTCACAGGACTCCGAGGAGAACCCACTGGAAACAAGACAAAAGCAAGGCACGTGGAGGTAAAAATTTTAGCACTGCAAGCCAAATTTGGCCTTTTGCTCCTTGACTGTCTTCTTTGCACACTCTGGCAAAAAGCAGAAGAAACTGACAAACCCAGATCAGGGTGGACAGTGTCTGTAGCTGTGTCACCTCTGTGACCCTAAACCCCATGGATATCCATGTGATTAGCTGGACTCGGGGAGGATATGGTCAACTAGTGGCCCTCAGGGTCCACAGTGGTCAGTTGAATGTAAGCCCCCTGCACTCTTCCTGGGCCAGGTTCACAAGGGAAAGTATAAAGGGAAGAATTCTCTCCCTCTGTTTGGTGGTTCGAACCCACCAGCTGCTCCCCAGGAAATGGATGAGACAGTCTCTTTCCATAAAGATTTACAGCCTTGGAAACTCTACGGGGCTGTAATTTTCACAGAAGCAGATTGCTAGGCCTTTCTTCCATGGCACTTCTGGGTGAGTTCGAACCACCAACCTTTAGTTCATACTCTGTCCTATAAGGTTGCACTGAGCCAGAATCGGCTCGATGGCAGTGGGTTTGGTTTTGGTATTTGTCTCATCAGAGGTCCCTGGATAGTGCAAACAGTTTTTACTTGAGTATGAACTAAAGGGTGGTGGTTTGAACTCACCCAGAAGTGCCATGGAAGAAAGGCCTAGCAATCTGCTTCTGCAAAGATTACAGCCAAGAAAACCCTATACAGCACAGTTTCTATTCCATAGTACATGGGGTCACTATGACTTATAATCAATTCAACAGCATTGGGTTTGTCACTGTTGGTTTTGGTTTTACTTGCCTTCTGAACTTCATCTTGCTCTGTAGAGCCTAGACTGAGGACAATGAGGAAAGGTAGCTCTGTACATGTAGAGGCTGTTGTTGCTCTAGAAGGCTCACCACAGTCTTGCAATCATGGGAGTAAGTTTATAAGTGGAAGCTTAATGAGGAAGTAATAGTGGGAAATCAGAAACACTCCCAGGTGTTAGGTGGAGACAGAGGTATTTTTGATGTTTTGGTTTTGAGGAATCTTTGGGTGGAGGAGATAAAATGGTAGCAACCAGAGTCTTTTTCTCAGCTGTGAGAAAATAACTCTACCAACAGAGTTGTGTGGGTCCTTTGCAATTTTCTTCTACTGCGTGTTTTATTATTGACAGTAATACAAGGCAGCTATTGGGAAGCACTAAGGAGCTCTGGTGGCATAGTGCCTAAGACATTTGACTGCTAACCAGAAGGTTGACAGTTCAAACCCTCCAGCCACTCTGTGGATGGAAGACTGGGCAATCTATTTCCATAAAGATTTACCATCTTGGAAACCCAAAAGGGTTTCTATGAGTTGGAATCGACTCAGTGGCATTGAGTTTGTTTTTTTTGGTATTAGGAAGTACTAACCAGGTGGCAGACATTGTTCTGAGTGTTTTACATACATTAATATTTGCTTTATTATAACAAATCTTTGAGAATGAACAGGAATTTCCCACTTTACAGGTAAGGAAAATATATCTCAAAGACATTAGCCTCATTTATGACACAGTATCTAGGTTTCAAGGATCCCTGGTGTGACATTAGTTAAGTGCTCAGTTACTTAGAGAGGCTATAGGGTGTGTTCAGGGTCAAAACGTTGGTGGTTTGAACATACAGCCACTCTAGGGGAAAAAAATGAGGCAATCTGTTTCTGTAAAGATTACAGCCTTGGAAACCCTATGGAAAGTTCTATTCTGTCCTACTGGATGTCTTTTGAGTAGGAATTGACTCAACAATAATGGGTTCTTTTGGTTTAACTAGGTTTCAGGCAACACTGCTCAGGGATTTACATAGATCATATCTTTTCATATTCACCACAGTCTGGTGAGGCAACTCCCAGAGAGAAAAAGGGAGTTAGAGAGGCTATAGGGTGTGTTCAGAATCAAGTGGCTATGAAGGAGAGATCAAAATGCAGGTCTGGCTGAGGCTTCAGCCCACTAGGAACAATGCATTATTCAGTCTGTGGGTCAAGGGTAGCGTTTGTAAAAGTTGTTCTCAGGTACATAACACATGGGTTTTCTCCAGGGCTGTACCAGTCCTTTTTGAGGACTAGGTTTCCCTAAGACGAGTGTGTTGAGAGAGAAAGACTCTAGGCAGCAGTCTCTGGCCCATGCCTACTGGAGATATTCTTTTCTGTTAGTAATCTTTCATCATCCAGTCTTTTTCCTCATACTCAGCAATCTGCATCTCCAGCCCAGGACTCAACAGCAGACCCAGCACCAGAATGTCCCTCACACAACATCGGTAACACTGGACCTGCCATCTTTTCCCCAAATGCCCTCCTCCCATTTCAATTGCCCTACTGCCATTCATGCAGTTCCCCAAGTGAAAAATCTCCATGTTTAATTCCTCCCTCTCATTCACAAACCACACCCTCCCTACCAACAGTGTCATTACATCTCTTGCATTTGCCTTCCAAACATCTCTCTCCATTCACTCCATTCCTATCTACTCCTCTCATCTAACACCTGGCTATGGCAACAGATATCACCTAATCTCCCTACCTCACTTACTCCTCATTCTCATCTCTCCTCCTCACTGCCCCCAAAGGGATCCCTCACAAAGAAGAGCACACTAGAACAAGGCTCTTTAGAATCTTCAATGACTCCAACTGAAGCATCAAGTCCAAGGCCACTGGAATCAAGGCTGTGTACTTGCTGGTTTCTGCTGATCTTCCAGCCTGACTTCCTACGCAACCCATAAACCTGCACCTTAAGCTTCATTCTCATAAACTACTTACAGCTCCTTGATTAGACTATCATCATTTATGTCTCTGTGACTTTACACATATTATTGCCTCCTCCACAGAATGCCATTTTGTCACCTTGTCAGCCTGGTATACACCTACTCTTCAAGTTTTAGCTCAAACAACATCTCCCCATAAACACTTCTCTGAAACCTTCAAAACAGATTGCCACTCACTCCTGGGTATTCCTCTGTCCCTCAATGAGTTGTGCTTTTATAGCCCTTATCACACAGCCTTGTCACTGTTTACAAGCACTCACCACTCTCCTGCAATTGCAATGACCTGCTACTGATCTTCCTGTCTTTTTGGCCCTTCTGTATCATCAATTCATAACCCAGCATCTCCACCTGACCTTAAAATTTCCAGTACTTGCTATGACCTGCAGAACCAAAAGCACATTCAGTAACATGGCATATGCATGGTCTTTTGATAATTAGCCCTCTCATCCTTGTGTGCATGCTCTCTCTCTCTCTTGCTCTCTCAAGCAATCTCTCTTTAAATATAAATATCCTAAACTATACCTGCCACGTTGAACTACTTTTATTTCCTTGAATATACCATGTTGTTTTGTGCCTTGAAAGCCTTTTTATGCTTTTTCCTCAACCTGGAATGCCCTTATCCCACACTCTTTTCTTTCAAGAAATTCTATGCATTGTATGTAATCCAGTTCTATTTATTGTCTCCTTTTGTGCCTCCTATAATTGCCAAGTAGAATTACCTATTCTCTCTTCTAAGCATTCATCATTTCACTTTATTCATATTATTAAATTAACCCTTACCATGGTGCCATATTTCTACCAACTATCAAAGGTTGGGCAATCCTACTTCTGTAGTGATACTGCCTCGGAAACCCAAGGAGGGGTCGCTATGAGTCAGGGCCGACTTGACGGCACATAACAACAACAACAACATCACAAAGCCTGACCCACTACAGGTGAGTTATTAAATGTTTCTTCACGTCTGATTGATATATCCAGTTCAATTCAACAAACATTTATTAAGTATCTATTATAGGTAATGTCCTTCACTAGCTACATTGGTAAAATAGAGATAAATTAGACAGGCTCTGTTCCTAAGACACTTCCAGTCTAGTTAGAAGCAGCAAATAATTGATGCACCAGGAGAGCTAGATAGTTAAAGCTCTTGACAGTTAAAGAGTTTTATGATTCCCTACTTGCTTTAAGTACAGTCATTCTAATTCATCATTGTGGGTTTTCTCAAACATGATTTTGCAAAAGCAGGGCACACCCTATAGATCAGGACCACACTGGTCTCAGAAGATGGGTCTTGGGTTAATATCTACTATATGTAAACATGTCATGAGGATTAAAGAAGAAGGGGAGACTCTAATCCACGTTCTTACCTCAGGGAAGCTGGAGTATGAGAAATTAGGCTTAGGCTGTCCAGTACCCCATCATTCTCTGCAGGAAAATGATGGGAAGGACATTTGGTCTGATAGCAGCGAGGCCTACAAAAACTAGGATTGAGGAAGAGAAAGGCTTCTTCTCATCTCTGGGAATAAGAAAGGAACTACTCAGAGGTAAGAGAAACCCCAAATGACTGTGTCTTTAGGAGGCACTGGTTGATGATTTGGTGGGAGAAGGTAAGATTGAGTACAGAACATAGTGGTGTCACATAAATACCTTCCATTGTATATCAAGGCATCCCTGTCCAGCATCCTTTAAGCTGGTACGAAACAGAACCCCAAATGGGCTGGGCTGCCCTATGGAGAGTTCTAACAGCAACAACAAGGATTTCATAGGGCTTTACCAGTTACCAAGAAAGTAAATTTGGATCTCATTTAATTGCTAAGTAGCCGTATGTGTGAGGAATCATTAGCTCAGTTAATATGTGAGGAAACTGAGTCAGAGAAGTTGCTGTCTATGTCCAATATCAGACAGCAAGTATATGGGGAAGCTAATTGGTGCCTAAACCCAGATCTTCCCTTAGTGACGGTGGTAAGTTCAGCACAGTTATAGGCAGGGGTCACCACAATTAGAATGGATGTACCTGAAGGAAGCCACTAAATATCAGGGTGGACATCAAAGAGTAGCTGCAGGAAGGGAAACTCTATCAATGCTGAGAACTCATAAGCCACCTGGGACCTGGCCAAGAGAACAAAGGGGAATTGGGGACTTGGGTCCAGAGCCTCTACTTGGAAGGGAATTAAAGGTCAAAGGACATGACATACACACTTTTTAGGCCTTACATAATTCTTCAACTATGCCTGCTCCCCAATACTGCCTACCTCAATACCAAGGTTGATGTCACTGGGTAAGCAAGGTATATATAACATCCCTTTATCAACTTTATTTATTTTTACTACACTGTATCAACTATATTTCCTTTCTCTAAACACCACACTATGACTCCTGAGGCTTCCAGAAGGAATTGAGAGTCTTCTGACCAAGAAATAGCCTTTCAAACAACTTGGAAACTTGTTTGAGAGTGCCATTATCTGGGAGAGATGATTCTCTGAAATTTTCCACTCTAGGCTCTTCGTTCTTCTTTAAAAGGAAACATCAATTGTGGTACAATGATTCTTCCTGCAGAAACTGGCTTGGGTACACAGAACCCTCAACTTGTGACAACACCTCTAGCTCCCTTCTGTCCCTTCCCTTCAGGCCACTTTTACAGTCCTCTCCTCCCTTCTTCCTACCTCTACTGCGCCTCCGGCTCCGTGAGGGATCTGTGTAAAAGGTCAGCTGGGGGTCATTTTCTGCTTCTGTTCCTGAATCCCCTTCAGGGTTCAGGAAGGCGGATCCAGCTGTAAAAAAAAGGAGCACAGGAAAGACAACACCTTTACTTTTGTCTTCATGACACCAAATCTTTGGGGCAGTTCTACAGAAAATCCATACTACAAGCATGAGTTGACTGACAATCTGGGAGGAGTAGCCATGGAACTGGGATTTCCTAATATACAGGTTTGTTGGTGAAACAGACCTTCATCTGACAACAATCATAGAGTCCTACTCTGCCTTGCACCCCCACCCCTAGCCCATGCTCCCACCCACTCAGGGCATTTCAGACAACTGCTTGTCAAACAGGACCTCTAGGGATGAGGGAGAAAAGGAAGAAAGCAACAATTTCCTCATTACAGGTCACGATTCTAGTTTCACGATTCTAGTTGATTAAAAAACTACACTGCCATCGAGTCAATTCTGACTTAGAGTGACTCTATAGGACAGAGCAGAAATGCCCCATATGGATTCCAAAGCTGTAAATCTTTACAGAAGCAGACTGCCTCATATTTTCCTGCAGACCTGCTGGTGGGTTTGAACCTCATACCTTCTGGTTAGCAGCCAAATGCTTTAATCACTAACACCACCAGAGCTCCTTCTGGTTGATATGAGACCAAAATCATGTGTAAAAGGGCATAAGATATTTTTTTTCCTGGTTCTATTTAATGGGAAAAAGTACACAAAAATGTGTAAAGAGAACAACCTCGATCCCCTGTAAGTCTACCATTCCAGGGAACACTATTAACCTTCGATGTATATATTTCCCATATTTTTCTGACATAGAAACTGATAAAAGTTTTAAAATCTTCTTTTAAAAAGGCACTATGCTGTATCTTCTATTTTATAACCTGATTTTGTTTTTTCATTTGATAGGCAACTTTCCATATTAACACATATAGATCCACATTATCATCTTTGGTGACTTCATGGTGAACTACTTGACAGCAGACAGACATGCCAGGCAGTTAACTGATATCCTATTAATGGACACAAGCTATTTCCAATTTTTCACTCTTTAAACAATGCTGTGATGAACAGCCTTTTACACATATCTTTACATGCTTGTCTAATTGTTTCCTTTGGATAAATTCTTGTTGGTGAAATTACTTGGTCAAAGGATTTGCATATTTAATTTTTTTTGGTAACACCTAACCAGCCTCTAGAATGACTGTACCAGGGCACACCCCTATAGCAACGCATGACAGTGTGGGTAGTGGATATTAATGGCCTCACTCCACCAATATTATGAAATCTACCTATTAGCTCTAACAACACACATGGATACCTCTTGCTTTGTTGTTGATCCGCTTTCTCTGGCTACTGGAGGTGTGAGAGAGAAGGGTGGCTTGCTGGTGGTTGGAATCCACGGGACTGGTGGCAATGATGTTGTCCTTGTACTTGTTCATCAATGATAGCTTGGCATTGTCACTTCCTGCAGAAGGATAATTCCAGGCAAAACTTTAAGAGAAAAGGCCAAAAGAAAGTCAGACCAAGAACATCTGCATAAACTGAGTGAATTGAAATAAGGAACTTTAGAAGGGAGAGACTGGCAGAAATCAAAATATTCTTCTTTAATTTCAAGAGGGACTACAAATTTATGGGAGAAGGAGCAAAAAGAGTGTGATTACAACTGAGAATTCAGTTTAACTTATTCTGTATTGATGAGTCAACACTTGTGGTCCTTTGACTACATGAATACTGCAGATATGTCCTCTTTTGGTCAGCATAGAGTTTGAAAAGAATTTGAATTTGAATATATGGAGATAGAGAATGCATTCTTTCTTTCATCTCACTCTGCACCACTCCCTATTGTCTGACATCAGATATTTCACATACTTCTGTTATCTGCTTGGCCTCTGAAGACATTTGAGTTTGTAATCCTTGAATACCATATAGCTAATTGGAAGGCTTAGCCCTGTGCCAGGTATTGTGGAGAAAACTAGAGAAATTATAGACATGTACCCTATTCTCAAGGAGTTCTCTGACTTTGAATCTTCCCAGGATATAAAGTTTTCATATATAATCACTTCTAGATATCAAAAAGAATGGAAAGCACTATGCAATCCCACTCTTTCCAAGTCCTACTGAAAGTCCATATATCTTAAGCAGCTTTTGATATCAAAAACATCTTTCTCAAAGGCAGAGTGATTCCTTGAAAGGCCACTGTCTTAGGATTTTATCTATAGGGTATTGCTTATTCATAGAGATTGGAGTGAGAAACAGGTGAGCTACTGTAAAAGAAAAGTAGCCCTTCCCTCTCTGCCTTTTTAAAAAAAAACAAAAAAAAAAAAACCTGATTTTGTCAGAGTTGGTTTAGGTCCAAGTCCCTTCTACCCAGAGTCTCCACAGATGCATGAAACATCTGAGACTTGACAACTTGATTGCATTCCTTCATTTTCTTTGGAGAAGTACAGCCCTTCTGCAGGTCACAGAGGTAAAATGTCTCAGACCAAAGCCTCAGAAATAGAAAAGAGCAGATATCACGACTCCCTCCAGTTCAATGAAGAATCAAATCACCTAAGCAAATATTCTACATACTTAAATGCCATCCACACTTTTGATTTTTGCTATCTCCTTATTGCCTGGGGTTTGCTCATTACATACTTAATAGGCTCTCACCCACTCCTCCGTTGGATGTAAAAGTATTTCTGCTTCCAGTACACGGTAGAAGTGGAGAGGGATCCAACTTGACTTGTTCTTCTGATTTTCCAGATTAGAAACATCCCCTTTCATCTCAAGAAACAGTTTATTCTTCTTGCCCACCTGGGGAAAAGCACTAGACTGTCCCATTATATATGACCCTCTCCCCCCCACTAAATAACACAGCCACTGATCTCTACCTAATCACTAGCTCCTGGTGACAAAGGACCAAGCAACTCCCTGTCCTTTTCCCATCTCACCTGGTGTGAGGTCCATCCCTGCCTTCTCATTGCAGCCCTGCAGGGAGTCAAGGGTGCGAGTGACCTGGCTGGCAAAGTCCTCTCCTCCATTCATGCACTCCCTCTGCAGGTGGTGCCGCAGGTCTGTGATGTCGTACTCATAGCCGTCCAGGATAGGGGTCTCCCGGATGCTCAGGGTGCCGCTGGAGTTGTGGCCCTGCACACGGGCATTGCGCAGACTCTCCCTCCCATGGCCGCCAATCAGCACAGAAGGGATATAGTGGATTTCGTTGGCTGCTTCAGCACTGGCACTCTTCTGGGGCTGAGGGACACGGCGACGCTTGCACCAGCGCCGCCGTGTGTACAGGATCATCACCAGACACAAGATGGACAGCAGCAGAGCAATCATGCCACCCTGGGAAGAGAGGGCAGCAGATGGATGTGGGAAGACAGTGGGTTCTTCCCACAAGGAGTCATATCCCCTTCAGCTAGCTCCATGCATCACTCATTTGTTAATTAATTCATTCAAGTGCATTAAGCATTTATGGCAAGCATCATTCAGCAGCAAATGGACAGTCTGCTATACTGGTGTTTAAGGTGAGAGAAAAATGGAATCTAGATGACCAATGCATCATTTTGAGTGATTCAAGGTTGTTTCTGGCTTAGAAAACAATGTGGAAAGCAAAGAAGTCATTGGGACTCTGTGTGTTTGTGCGTGTGTGTGATTTCAGCTCTAGAGACAGTGACTAGGGTTAGAAATAGGAGCATAACCCTAACCTTTTCTTTAATAAAGCAAATCTATTACAATGTAAAGCTGGTTTCAGACCTTTTTTTTCTTTTCTTTCTTTCTTTTTTTTTTTTAAGCAGAGATGACATCTAGTTTCTTCCTGTGTCACATTTTAAGTGGTTAAGTGCTCAGCAGCTGACTGAAAGGTCAGCAGTTCAAACCCACCAGCCACTCAACAGGAAAAAGATGTGCTTTAGTAAAGTTTACAGCCTTGGAACCCTTTGGGGCAGTTCTACTCAGTCCTACAGGGCCACTATGAGCTAGAATTGACTCAGTGGCTGCAGGTTTGGTTTTGGTTTTCACACCTTAAAAATCAATCATAAGTGGATTCTAATTCTATGTCCCTAATGATCTGCAAGTCATGCAAATTCTAAACTCAGATTTCTCATATAAAATGAGGTTGATACCACTTAACCCCCCATGGAGGTTGTAAGGATAACATTAGGTAATTATGTCAAATGTGTAGCACAGTGCACAGCATAGCAGAGATTGTCTAAGTTTAAATGCCTCCATATGAGTACTTGCCTCTCAGCAAGGGAAACCACTGACAAATCCAAAGAGAAATTTACATCCATCAGAATTTACAGCCAGGTGCAGGAAGGAATTTTACCATTTGAACATGACCTTTTTGGGTTTCTCCCAACCACACAGTCCTGGTCGATGTTTTCTATCCTTGCTAAAGATCAGGAGATGGGATAGAGACCCGTGTCCTGAGTCAGAAAGGTAGAGGAGTTTCCTTTTAAACTTCCTGGTTCTCAAAGGCCATCACCTCTGTGGCCATTACTTAACAATCAGCAGTCCACTCGGCTGTCCATCACAGGCAAGGATGCAGTGCCTCAGTGAGATTGACCATCTCGCCCTGACATCCATCAGGCAGACTCTGGGGGAATGCTCTGCAACCAACAGCTGCACAGTGCTCAGTGGGCATAAATCTTCCCAAGCACAATCTGTGTTCACTCCCTTTATTTTGGTCAATATCTCTCTGAACCTATTTCATTAGGCTGGGGTGTGCCAAATGATTCTGCTCTCAACCTTGGGCTTCAATCACTGCCACCCTATCATAGAAGTTACAGATGAAAAACCCCTGTTCATCCTCAGTGGGCCCACCCACTTTACACAGGGTCAAGATTATTCCCTCCAACTCATTCAAGGGGACTTTTTCTAGCTTCATAATAATTATGTCTTGGATTTATAAAGTTCCTCTTGCTATAAATCTTCCCATTTATCCTCCCTCTTCCACTGTAAGTTTAAGCAAAGGACCACACACACACACACACACACACACACGAGATGTTGCATGTTGCTTCTTTCAAACAGGCATCACAGAGAAGCAGACCCATGAAGCAACAGTCAGCTGATAAGTGACAGGTTATGCTAGGTGGCTTTTCAGAGGCATACACCAGCCCCTTGGTTTTCAAATTTTTCTTTTATCAATAGAACCCTTCTTCATAGTTATATCTTAATGCCAGCATAAAGATAACATAAACATGAAACTGTTCAGGTTACAGTGACAGTGGGAATCCAAAGCCAAGTATTCTAGGCCCAGAGCACCATGTAGAAGACACAACACCTCAATGGTGCTGCAACTGAGCTCTGGACCAGTTCTTGAAAGCTACTCTTTGTGACTAACCCAATAGTTTTTCAGTTGAATCTTCAGACCCACTATCCTTTTCTTCACCCCAAACTAAAGCTGCAATAATAGGTAATTAAGCCACACAGAAGGAATAACTTCCTGACTGAGAAAAGTTGTCAGACATTGAATTAGGCCAGTGAAAGTGAGAAGTAATTTTATTCCCTAAAGAGCTGTAAGAGTGGCATGAACATCAATCTCCAAGGAATGGTTTAAATAACATCTTTCCGGCTCACACTGAGGTTTTTAGGAGGCCCTTTCACTCTTCCTCTGTAGTTCTCCTTTCAGATGGTGACACTGTGGTTATAGTAAGATCCAGGCCATAGGGTCATTCCCCATATGAGGCAGTAATAAATCAGTAGCAGCTGTCTCTTATCAAGCTTGTATTATGTGGCAGACATCTGTTCTAAACGCTCTATACTTTTTAACTCTAAGAGGTAGGTACAAATATTTCCCCCTTTTACATTTATGAAAGCTGAGGCACAGAGGCTATGTAGCTTTCCTAAAGTCACACCAGGAATGAGGAGTAGAATTCATTCTACAGCAGCAGATTTTAAGTAGTTATCCTAGCTGTGTTCACAGTAAATTCACTTGTTTGTGTTAGTTTTAGTTTTTAGGGCATTGATGATGATAATAATAATAAGAAGAAGAAGATGTTAAGGTACATCTGGACCCAGGCAACAAGTAAAAAATAACAAACTTTGAACATTAAAAAAGAATAATAACATTGACTGCAAGATATAAATTTGTTTTGCTCTTTATTCATCTTATCACAAGTTTTCTGATTATTTTATTGATTTTTCTCAAAACTGTTAACATTTTGTAACTAGAAGTATGTTTGGGGTATATGAAAACTTCACATCTGTTAACACATTGCTTGTGGGAAGAAAAGTGGCATTTAAAATATATTTTTTCTTTTAAAAATCAATAAATCATTTGTACCAGGGCTTTAATAGAGATCAAAAAAATGAAATCAGCTTTTATTTTATTACAAAATTGACATTTTCAGCACTTACCTAAGAGAGTAATATGAAGTTTGTCAAATAATTTGTAGATTTTGGAATTTTTATATAACAATATTTTATATAACATTGATGGAGACTGCTTAGGGATGGACAATTCTAGGCAGAGCTTCCTTTATTTCATCACAGTCCTCCAGGCCTAACAACAAAACTGTCTCATTATCTGATCTGTATATTCATGCTGAGACCTGGTCACAGTGTCCTCCCTTAGGTAACTCCAACTCATCATTTGAAAGTTAGTTCAGTGACACACCCCCAGCCCACTTTTCCCTAGTCTTACAGTACTGTCCATTCTTGGGTTCCCATAGCACTTTCCACATAACCCTAAACACAAGTACTTTAACTTTATGTATATATGTAGAGATGTGTGTTTGTCAACATTGTTTACATGGACAATTCAGTGTTGTTAATTATGTTTATCATGTCATGCACCCATCTCCACTCTGTGTTTCCAAATTTATCCACCACTCTTAACAGAAGCTCAATGCCCTCTAGTCAGTATCCACAAGTACTTTTACCTTTAACTTACTGATCTACCTCATCTACTAGACTATAAACTTTATGAGAGCAGGGGCCAGTCTGACATAGCTCTTATAGCTCAAGGGTCAGGCATAGCATCTGGCATAAAGAAGTCATAAAGAAGCTGTTCAATAATTGTTTTTGGAAAAGAAATAAGGAAATCAATACCATTTTCAATAGCTACCAAAAAAATAAAATACTTGGGAATAAATCTTACCAGGGACACAAAAGACCTCTACAAAGAAAACTGTAAAATATACTTCAAG